CACTGAGCCACCATCCCAGCCCTTGAGACTCCATCTGACTGAAGCTGGGTGTGGTTGTTCATACCTGCTACCAACCCAGCTGTGGCAGGCAGTGCAAAATAGATGGGGCCCAGGCAAAAAGAAAGAACTAATCTCAAAATAATCAGCACACACACAAAAAGGCTGAAGGTGGCTCAGCAGGAGAGCACTGCCTAGCAAGCTCAAGACCTTGATTTCACATTCAAGTTCCACAAAACAAAACAAAAATATCCTATTCAACTGTATTACTCGCTAACATCTGGGGAGAACCTAGAAATATTGTAAAGATCTATAGCCTTCCACACTATTTTCTATTTAGTTCTTTTTTTTTGGGGGGGGGTCCAGTCGTGGGAGCTATTCCTCAGCTCTTCAGCTAAGGCTAGGGCTCTACCACTTGAGCCACAGCGCCACTTCTGGCATTTTTCTATGCTTATGTGGTGCTGAGGAATCAAACCCCAGGGCCTCAGGCATGCAAGGCAAGCGCTCTACCACTGAGCCATCTTCCCAGCCCCTCTATTTTCTATTTATAAGGGAGGAAAAACAAAAATACGTGTGTCAATATAAATTCCCAAAATATCTGGTAAATATCATGGCAAAAATAAGATGATTTCTAAGCAAAAAAAAAAAAAGATAATTTTTAAAAGTGGTAACAGCCAATTTTTAAGAACTATGAAACAGGAAGTCAATCATAAATATTTCCTAAACTGTAAGAACTTCCTTATTTCAAACTATTGCATTTAACCATGTTTCTATCAATATAAAAACCACAAAATTTACTCTTCCTCAATTACAGCTCTTCACATAGAAACTGATACAACACATACTCTGGAGACAACAGAAAAAATTATATCCACTGTCTAAGAATCAACAAAGTCATACTTTGCATAGAAACTCATTAGAACTGAGGGTTTTTTTAAAAGTTATTTATATCAGACATAGTGATGCAGGCCTATAATCTCAGCTACTCAAGAGGTAGAAGTAGGATGATCCTGAGTTTGAAGCCTACCAAAGCACAGTTAGCTTTCTCTAGCTTTTTTTTTTTTGGTCGGTCATGGGGCTTGAACTCTGGGCTTGGGTGCTGTCCTTGCATTCTTCAGCTCAAGGCGTGAGCTCTACTGCTTGAGCTACGGCGGCACTTCTGGTTTTCTAGTGGTTTATTGGAGATAGGAGTCTCATGGAGTTTCCTGCCCAGGCTGGCTTTGAACCTTGATCCTCATATCTCAGCCTCCTGAGTAGCTAGGATTACAGGAGTGAGCCACCAGTGCCTGGTTGCTATCTCTATCTCTTACAAGCAGAAGTGTTAGGGCATAGCTCAAGTTGTAGAGCACTTGCCTAACATGCATGAGGCCCTGGGATCCATCCCTAGAATGGGGGTTGGGAAAAGAGTATTATAGTATGTCAACCATATTTACCTAATATTGCCTTAATTAATTTTTGTTTTATTTTATGACTAATTTTCACTGTGTAGGCCACACTGGTTTCAAACTTAGATAGTCTTCCTGCATCAATCTCATCAAGTGCTAGAATTACAGGGTGTATCACCATGCCCAGACTCTAATTAATTTCTATTTGAGCGATACAGCATGAACATGCAATGTTTCTGAGCTGATAACATGCAACTTACCTTCCCACATGCTCGACAATGATGCCTCCTTTTGGTGAACGTGAACCGTGCTTCACACTTCATGCAATTTGGAGCCTGGGAATCTGGTACCCATACTGGAGCCACCTCACCTAGAGTGGTAAATGGCTTTCTGGCAGAAATTCCAAACTGACTAGCTCTGAGATCATTATCTGGGCTATCTGGGGCTACTGCAAGGCACGGTCTACTGGGGATCTCAGCCTCATAACTTTCTAAATGTTCCCCATTTGTATCAGCAATAGAGTTATTTCCCATAGATGTACTGCCTACATTGGTTGCTGTGTTCTCCCCTAACTTTGCTTTCCCAAGAATATCATTTTTGTTTTTAATGTTATTTCCACTGTTCACAGGAAGGTCATTTTGTACATGGTCTGATAATGGCTTTGGAATTTGAAGTTTAAGATTAGAAGGTTGCTTAGGTCTTGCACCACCAAAAGGAACACTGATAGTTTGCAGGTTTGCTACTATCTTGGGGGAAGACTGCCCATGTACTGAAGAAACTTGACTAGGGAAATTATGTAAATAATTTTTCTTCATCAGGTCCCCAGTGCTATTTAAAAGTAGTCCACTCCCTTCTGTGGCCTCATTTCCTCTCTGATCATAAATATTTGAGTAGCATTCTGACTTGCTCTCTTCTATTTCCTTTTCTTCGGTTACGGAATCTTCTTTGGAGGGTAAAGTCTTTGGAACAAAAGAAACAACCGGGCTCTGCATTCCATAGGAATCACAACCATTAGACAGGGAATTTGCTGGTGTATCTACAATTGTGGAGAAATCACATCCTTCACTTTCATTTGTGCAAGTTCCTTGGATATCAAGACCTGCATCTGCCATTCCAGCACATTCCCCTTCACTATCACCATTAGTGTCAAGCTGTAAAAACTTTTGATTTTCTTCATTTACTTGGCTATCACTCATCTCATTTAGCTTAGTCAATTTCCAATTAGTCATCTCCTGAGGGTCAGAGAAATGCTCTGTCAATTTAGGAAATTCTGTGGTGCCAAGAATTTCTTCATGCTCATAAACTTCATTTTCATCAGCCCTAACTTCACTAGGCACAACACAACCTGAAGACTGTTTGCAGTTATCATCCCTTTGGGACCCATTTTTCATGTCTGGTTTGAGATATGAAGATAAGCCAGACAAGTGTTGTTCTTCAGCTGTTCTCTCTTCTGTTGGCTTTTTTTCTGTCAAAATCTCCTCACTCAAATGGGAAAGAGAGTTTAGACTCCCTGGATCTGTCCTAGGAGAGCTGGTTTTGCCTGTAAGACCCTCATCTGGAGGATTGTCCTCTTGTTTTTTAGCAGCAGGATCTCCATCTGTTCCCTGGGATGAGATCACTGAATCAACTGTTAAACCTGTAATCACAGACATGGAAGGGTCTCTACTTATATTTTCATCATCCTTTAACTGCACTGGGGAACAGGCACTGGCTATATTATCAGATGGAGTACCATACAAGTGGTTAACAGAATCCCCCTCTGTTTTTGGTCTATTCAATGGATCCATTAGTTTCTCTGAGTTCATATCTTTTTCAGTGGACCCATTCATACTAAAACTAAATTGATCAGTTTGTCTATTTTCATTATCCAGGGAACAACTAAAAGAATCCATGAGGGATTGACTATTATAATTATTACAATCCTGAAATTCACTTTGTAATGTCCTTTTATCACAGTTATGCATGACAGCTACAACAAGAACATTCTTATCATCTGGCAGACAAGTTAGATTTCCACATTTCTTCTCTCCCACTTCAACAGCACTGCACTGATCATCCAGAGTACAGTTTCTCTTCATTAACTGATCTTCTGCAATGGCATTTTCATCAATCCACATTGTGGCAATTTCTGGATTTAGACTACAGTCCTGTCCATTAGCACATGTATCTTCTTCCTCCCTGGTCACTGTTGTTGAATGCGCCAGAGAGAAGACTTTCAGTGGTGATTGTGATTCACTAGAAACTGCAGATTCATTCACATTGGCCAGCGTAGGATTAAATGATAGTCGGTTTGAAGAGGACTCTAAAATCTTATTCCACTTTGTGTCCAATAAAGTAGGAGAAATTGTGTCATCTAGAAAAAATAAGTAGTTACAATAAGTTTGTTAGTAAAACTGGGGCTACTAGGACTATATTAATAAACATTTCCACTTATACACTAAAATATTCTTAGAGATATGAAGGTTATCTAATTTTCTCTAGGGATATGAAAATGTATTTAAGACAATTATGAAATTATGTAATTATAATCACCAAATGAAAATACCTCAGAACATTTTAAACAAGTAAAGAATTCTACCTTAATTAGTAACATAACTAAACTGATCTCCAGACTAAGAAAGGAAAGCATTCTCTGAATGTCCATGTACAAGGCAGGAGGACATAGACTAATACAAAATGGGGTGAGGCTAAGGGGACAGAAAAAAGTACATAACAATTGTGTAGGCAGAAAAATGATGTAATTTTCTGTAGACAGTGAATGTTATTTCATTTAAACTGTGATTGTCAAAACTGTACAAGTTGGCCAGACATGCAGGCATCTGCCTGTCGTCATAGTTACTTGGGTGGTAAGATGGGAGGATCACTTGAGCTCACAAGTTCATAAAGCGGTTTAGGCAACATAGTAAGACCCTGTCTCAAAACAAAGCAAAAGTCAAAAATTACAGTAATGGCTAGGCACCAGTGGCTCACGCCTGCAATCCTAGCTACTCAGGGGGCTGAGATCTGAGGATCCGAGTTCAAAGCCAGCCTGGGCAGAAAAGTCCATGAAACTCTTATCTCCAATAAAATCACCAGAAAACTGGAAGTGGCACTACGGCTCAAGAGGTAGAGTGCACGCCTTGAGCTGAAGAACTCAGGGACAGCACCCAGGCCCAGAGTTTAAGCCCATGACTGACAAAAAATAAAAATAAAAAATTACAGTAAAGATTTGTATGTATTAGTGCATATAAAGTTTACCTATAAAAACTTTTTTAAATGCCAAAACTTTTTTAAAATGCATAGTATTATCTATAATCCTAGCTACCATTGAAGGTCAGCCCAAGGAAAAGGTTAGTAAAATCCCCTCAGAAAAACAACTAACGCATAAAGAGCTGGAGGTGGCTGAAGTGGAAGCATCCTTGCATAGCAAGTTGAAAGCTCTAAATTCAAATCCCAGAACCATTAAAAAGAAAACATTTACAAAAATGAAACAGAAACTGAAATACAAAGGAAAGTATGAGACAAAAATGTCAGCATGTGAATTCACAATTAAAGGTGAATGATACATATACTGAGAATTAATATACTATTAGCTTTTTACATATTTTAATCTTTTCCATTGTAAGTTTTTAAAAATTTACTATAGTATGTGAAGTCCTTTAACCATGTCACAACACATTATTGATTAGATTCATATTTCTACTATCTGAGAATACTGGCAAAAAAATGTCAACTTATCTTATTAAACTTAGTCTATCAACAAATGTAATTTTATATCAAATTTGTTCCTTTTGTGAATTTTTTTTGTTTTTATAAAGGTGATGTACAGAGGGTTACAGTTACATAAGTCAGGTAAAGAGTACATTTTTTTTTTTTTTTGGGTCCGGTCATGGGGCCTGAACTCTGGGCCTGGGCGCTGTCCCTCAGCTCTTCAGCTCAAGGCTAGCACTCTACCACTTTGAGCCACAGTGCCACTTGTGGCTTTTTTCTTTTTGCTTATGTGGTGCTAAGGAATCAAACCCAGGGCCTCATGCATGCAAGGCAAGCGCTCTACCACTGAGCCACCTTCTCAGCCCAAAGAGTACATTTCTTTTTAGACAGTGTCAACCCTTCCCTTGCTCTGTTTTTCCCTCTCATCCCCATCCACATTTTCAGATAGTGTTAGTGACTATCACTGCTACATTTGTTTACCCCTTGTCCCCACATTTCTGTGCCCTACCTCTTGCCATCCCAAAGACAGATAACAAACAAATAAGACCAAAAACAAAGAAAAAATTACTTCCATTCTTTTTGTCATTGGTCATGGGGCTTGAACTCTGGGCCTGGGTGCTATCCCTGAGCTCTTCAGCTCAAGGCTAGCGCTCTACCACTTGAGTAATAGCTCCACTTCTGGTTTTTCTGGTGTTTAATTGGAGATAAGAGTCTCACAAACTTTCCTGCCTAGGCTGAGTCTGAACCTCAACTCTTAGATCTCAGCCTCCTGAGTAGCTAGGATTACAAGTGTAAGCCACCAGCACCTGGCCTATTCACTTTTTATCAGATCATAGCTAAGTTATTCTCCCAGGTTATAGAATTATATTATAGGTCAAAGTAAAATAAAGAAATAGGAAATAATGGACTTGGTGCCTTTCCTGTTCTCTTACTCTAACTGATAATAATGGTGTTGAAATTATGCAGATATATTTACAATAATTATCAAACCATGCATAGCACCTTCTTAAGATCTTTATTAAAGCCTTTAGTATACTATTACACAATAATTTATTTGTATTCACTGAATGAAGATAAATGATTTCTGAAGCAGAAGCCATTTTGTTCTACCAGTATAAGTCCTCATGGTGCATAGGTATACAATAAATATACAGTGAGTATCTACTGTAATAAAATCATTGGTTTTATGATACATTAAGATTAAATGATGGTTGGCACCATTACAAAATATATAATGTAGAGCTGGGAAGGTGACACAGTGGTAGAGTGCTTGCCTTGCATGCCTGAGGCCCTGGGTTTGATTCCTCAGCACCACATAAGCAAAAAGAAAAAGCCAGGAGTGGCGCTGTGGCTCAAGTGGTAGAGTGCTAGCCTTGAGCTGAAGAGCTGAGGGACAGCACCCAGGCCCAGAGTTCAGGCCCCACGACCAGACC